GTGTGTATGGCCTGCATAAAAAATAAATGCCTTAAGCCTGGTATTTTTTTTAATAAGTTTTTTATTTTTTATAAGTAAAGGCATATAACCAGTTTAATTGTAGTGCATTAATAGTTTTTATAGGTTTATTAATTAAATTAACTTGGTCCATAAACTTGATCTGAAAATTTGGTCCATAAATCAAACACACTTGCATGTAATAATATGACTTGAGTGTTAATCACATCATGTTTTCAGTTTGAATATAAAATATATAAATTATGTAAAAAAAATAAAGTTGATCCAGCTGGAGCGCAGGCTGAGAATAGCGCTGTCATGACTGGATCACGAGATCATCAGTCATGCCCTCTCATACCTTACGCGCACACCACGCCCACTTACATCAGATCACATCAACATGTCAGCCGGAGGGATAACGAGGGTCGTCGTCGCTTTTGGATTCAAGAATTTCTTACAACAAGATGGCAAAAGAACAGCGCTTTGCAAGACATGCAACGTTAAGATCGCGGACAGTCAGATGACAACCTCCAATTTCGTCCGTCATTTGAAGAGCCATTCTGCCCACTGTGCCCAGTAAGTGCTTGTCAATTTGTTAATGTTATCTGGTTAGCTCGTTCGTAGTTAGCTAGCTAATGTAAGTTAAAGGAGAACTCCGGCGCAAAATTACACATTGTTACCTAGTCAACCGTTATCTGAGATTTGTTTTCATGACTGCCGAATGTAAATAGTTTTATCTATAAAAACAGTTTAGCCTATAAGTGACGTCCGACATTCTGCATATTGTGTTATTTTGTTAAGCCCCACTAAAGGCATAAAAAACTGTAAAGCACAATCAAGTTTTCACACTATATTCCAAGACTTCTAAAGTCATTCAATAGCTTAATGTGTGGTAAAATTAATATTTTAGTCTCTAAGTTAAAGTTAACGGAAAGTCATCTCGCCTCAGTCATTCTCCATGCATCAGCATTAGCGCGTCGCGTTCGGTTGCGACAGTAACACGACGACACTCTCTTCAAGATCAATGTTCCCAATATTATACTTTATTTGTAGATAAGGCATAAAGGTCTATGATTTGCATAAAATGACTATCTTGCTGGAGTGGAGTTTATTGCCCTTTAGAATACACTAAGCATTAGTGCTGCACGATTAATTATATCGCAGTCGTAATAGCGATCTCAAACCTATGCAATTATATAACGCAAAATGCCGCGATTTTATATGAAATAAACAAAGTAGGGCTATTAGCGCAGCATCTCTTCTTTTTTGTCATCCTTTGACTAGTGTTACAAGATCCCCCTCTTATTGGTTCAAATGCCTTTTCGCATTTTGCACGACAAGAAGTGAAAAGCTGCCTGTGAGTGCCCTAGATTAGAATAGATGAGACTCGCATAATGCGCATGCACTGACCGTGTGCCAGCCCAGAATAAACAGTTCTCTTTCGAGCTTGAACGAACAATAGCACACACAATTATGCCAAAATGTGATTTTGTCTAGTATCTTCATAACATAAGAAAAGTCTATGGATGAAAAGAGTTGTGCTATGAGGCGCGTGTGAGATCCGCGTCTCGGCAACGGGTGCTCTTAAAGGGCCAGCAGCGAATAAAGCGTTCTTTCAGTAAAGTTAAAAGAACAAAGGGAAATTAGAAAATTACTCACTGATCTTGAGTAAAGAACTTTTGTAGCTTTAATAAGGATTATTATATATATAATTTATGATTCAGGCAGCGCAGACTGTTTGATAACTTTATTCAATTTCTGTACCTGTTAAGACAGGAAGGGCACAGGTAAATATGTTTTTTATTATGGGTTTATGTGGGGATTGTTTGAAGTTCACTTAATTTAAAAGCTGTTATATATTTTTTTTAAGCGTAATAATTTTTTAAAAAGTTGATGGCTTTCAATTGATGGAATCACTGTAATGTTGGTTTGGTTGATGGTTTATTGATCATTATAGGTGTTATCAATCATTTATTGTTGTTGTTGTTTTTAGTTTGAGTTGAGAAATAAACATTAATCTGTGTGTGCATTTTACTTTAGAACCAAGCAAGTTGGACTCATGAAACCATTTTATTATATCGGAGTCGCAAATCGCAATTGCAATATTGGCTCAAATATGACATTTTCCCAAATCGTGCAGCCCTACTAAGCATAGATTATAGATACCATCCCTTCGCTATGTTCTTTTCAATGTGAAGCGTTGCGTGCTGTGACTTGGTGTTGCTTCAAGTGCATCATTCTGCACACGGGATGCGCATGATTGCTTATAATACTTTGGGGAGACAAGGGGGCGTGGCCTAAGGGAATAGCACTCGTGATGTTAAGTGATGTTACCCCGCCATCGCTGATACAACCTTTAGCAGTCATGTTTTTGCTTCTTGAGAGAGAGAGAAAGTGTGTGTGTGTGTGTGTGTGTGTGAGCAATGGCGGTTCTAGGCGGGGGCCTGGGGGGGCCAGTGCCCCTGCGACAACAAGCTTGGACCCCCTTGTGGCCCCCTAAATGTGGAGTCAGTGTGAAATATTTTTTTATAGTGTGTCACGCATTGAGCATGACAGTCACTCGTTTCAGTCTTTTGTCTCACACTCCCGTCACACATTGTATTTCTCATGCGGAAAAACTATTAATAATATATTTAATATACGCAATTTCTCTGGCCGCGCCGCTCTCACGTGAGAATCAAGCGCGTCTCGCCTGGAGTTCAGCAGTCGACCCTGCTACGCATCAGCCAATCAAAAAAAGAGAAGTGCTACTACATTGGTTGTTAGTTTTATCTACAGTTACAAAAATCGGTATATACATTGTACTCCTCAAGCCGTACAACTTTCTAATACATAGTCATTAGCTCGGACCAAGAGGAAGTCAGATATTTTGGTCTGAATATGGTGAGCCTCTCTCTGAGCCTACGTCCCTGTATGGCAAGCCCTTTTAACATTTAAAAGCTAAGTTTGCCTGTCCGGAATTAACATTGTAGATATCAACAACGTCTTTCTGTCTAGTCGTTACACTTTGGATAGTTTGTATTATCATTTAAGATATCTGTAACATAATTGTGACTAGTCGAAATGACAGAGTATGGCAAGCCGCTTTAACATTTAATCATGAAAGGGCCAAAGCCTTCGGCACCGCCACCCGGGTGCCTTTAGGTAACTAAAGGAACCGGGGTTGCGGTGCCTCCGGCTTGGGCCCGCCATCGCTGCTCGCAGCTATATTTATACTTTATTTTACAGTGAATCTTTTGTGAATCTGAATCAAAGGAAAATAATGTCTTTGCTTGTTTACCCATCAGTCAACCGCACACATGCAATAGTAAACAGGAGCGAGACGTTTGTCCACTCAACAGAAACCACATTCATCTGGGTCAGTCTTCCTCTAAACTAACCTGAAACACACTCGACCGCAACAGGTTTCACTTTAACTCTGAAACTGAGCTGAGAGTGTGTAAAGCATTCAGTGGAAACATATGGTATCTTGCAAACTTCATTTAACTCTTTTTTTATTCCACAGTAAAGCTTTTTTGTGCTAAACACACAAGCTCAGACACCAGAAAACAGTTCACTTTGTTTGTAATTGGTTACTGGTTCTTTGTTTCGCTTTTCATTTCCCTTTTTTCATTTTTAATTCCAATAGTTGAAACAAAACTGTCCAGCAGTCATGTTTAGAGTTCATGTTTTATGATAAAGATTCTGTACTCAATAAGTCTTAAACTGATATCTGTTCTCTGATCTGAAGCTAATGTTTGCAGATGGTCTGAGTTCTTGTGGTTTATTTTCAGCATCTTCTCTTCTCTGCGGTTACAGACCATGTCTCGAGAACAACAGCATTAACTAAACCTTTCCCTTATTTCCAAACCTATGCAACCGAATCACTTTTTCAGTGGTAAATTAGTTTGTGGATATGTCAGATCTCACAAAAAGAGCTTTGTGTTGTTCGTTTAATTTCTCATTTCATTCCGACTGAAGTTTATTTTGTGTCACTGAGTTCCAGTAGACCACATCCTGTAGATGTTTGACAGTATCTCAGCAGACACAAACTGACCCTTCATGTTCTGTGCACAAGTTAACGTAAATGTGTATTTAGAGAGATTTTAAAGTTCAGAGTGCGTATTCACTCCTGCTGGTATTTAATTCATCACTTTGGCATGATCTGCACTATATTGTTATACTGTTTTGAACAATACTTTTGTGCATTTTTATTTTCGATGTGCCTTATTATTATATTAGGTTATCATATTAACTACATTGCATTCAAACACATTGTTTTTTTATCTCCATAACTCAGATTGTACTCTTCTAACAGATAAGGCTCCTGGCGCGCCCCCTAGTGACTAAACATGAAAACATCTATTTTCCCCTTGTTACTGCTGATATGCCATGCTATTCCCTGAGGAGGGAGATCGTGGACCAATTATATGCTATGTTATTTTATTTTATTTATTTATTTGTACTTCTAAAATGGTCATCAGCTACTTCCTGAACCACACACATCTCATTGTTTAAAGGTGTATATTGAGAAATGACAGGGCGAAAATAGTTTTTTAAAGATTTATTTTGTTTAGTGACCATTCAGCATTAACAGAAACTTGCAAATTATGATTTATTTATGTATTTATGTATTTATTTATTTATTATTTTTTATTATTAATATTTTTAGAGGTGGTATTTTAGAGTAAGAGGCTGGTCAGTTAGCTGAAATCTGGTTCTTTAATAAAAAACCTGCAAACGATACTGATGCATCAGCCTGGCATACAAATGATGGAACCAAAAACCAGTTGGACGGGCAGCTTTAGATTATATTATAATTTGTTTCCTAAATAGTTTGTAGTATGGTATATATTATTACTTATAGCCTATTTATTTGTTCGTCTTGCAGGATTTATTACGATATGTTGTAGAATATTCACGCTCCAGCAGGTGCCGGTAAGCACATGTTCACCTGGTTCAAACCCCGTCATTAAAACCCCAGAGGAAGACGAAAACGAAAGTATCGATTGGTATCGACGAAAAACACACAAACAAACGGAGATGACATGAGAACTCGTTGCTCATTGGATTTGATTCATGTGTGTCCCAGAATTTTAACTTAGCGCCAACCGAAGTTTAATATTTTCGGTCATTGATTCATATTTCAACCACAATACGTGCGAGAGATTTTGAGATTGGTGACGCGCGCTGACAGGCCACAGGCAAGGACAGCATTTTTTTTTTACTTATAAATTCACTTTTTAGTGGACAAGAATGAAAGTAAGTGTTGATACTTTCTCGATTACAGTTAATAGGGGGAATATAATATGGATTTTGTTATAGGGCAGGGCAGGCCTATGTAAGTGTGATTTAAATGTGAAGGCAGGTGTTTTGTCAATTATGCTACCCATCGAGATTTGCGACTTGGTTGTGCGCATGTGCAGACTCAACAAAAGGTCAATTTTCATGTGTTATAATGTAATTTCCTTTTAAAAAATGCTAACTACAATATGCATATTTGTACGGTAAGCCAGCTGAACAAGAATAACTGAAAGTTTCAGTTAATAAAGAAAGATGTGCTTTGACAAGTCAAAGATGAATATTTGATGATAAATTTTGCTTTTAAAAATAAAAACAGTACTCTACAGTATACAGTAATTACTCAGAATTGTATTATAATTGTATTTCATATAATATTAATCAGTATTTTCTGTGATCGATTCGCACTACGGTAGCATTTTTCGACAAGGCAACACAAATCGTCAGAACACCGGAAGTTATAGGTAGCCTAGTAAAGCATTGAACATTAAATGTATTAACAATTTATTGAGGAAAAAAGTACGTTTCTCTTAGGTTCTTTTACGTTTCTCTTCTAGCTTATTATTGTTTTTGTTATGCGAAATTGAAAATATTTTTTAAACCAGACATTTACATTTAATAAATTGAACGTTCGTTCATGTAGGCTAGGCTAGTTTTTGTTTGTTTTTTGTTTTTTGTTTTTTTGTCAAAGAACATAAGTTGTTATTAAAATTAAATATTTAAGTCCACATCTTTATTGAACACACTCTTTATCCTTTAAAGGGGACATACATTTGTCGGTGAATAGTGACTCGTCAAGAGATGGTGGCCGAACAATACCAAAGGTATTTGGTGTGTTTCTTATTTTTGGTCACAGACTGTGTTAGAAAGTGTATCAATTAATTATTGTCATATATAGTTCAAATATTTACCAGCGTTTTTCTTTTGTCTTTGCAAAAAAATAATTACTGAAGATATTGATGATATTTCCCAGTTTTTATTTATTTTATTGGCTAACATGCACCCATATTTTGTCAATGTGCTGTGTTTGTTATGCAAATTTGAAAATATTTTTTAAACCAGACCTTTACAGTTAGACAGGCAGATGTAACGTTAATTTATTTGTAATATAAAATTATTATTTTTTTTTGTTTTTTCTTTGAAAGGCAAGTGGACTCAGAATATAAATGTATAGCGTGAATGTAGTTATAGAATTTTATAGTTATAGAACTAGTTTCATGGTGAGAGATTCCCAGTGAAATACTGGCATAAAGCAGGCTTGACACTGGATATATTTGCAAATTTATGGACCGTCTCTAAAGTTACAACACATCATGTTTGTAACTTCAGAGATGGTCCATAAATGTGCGAATAACGAATGTGCAGTGTCAAGCCAACTTTACACCAGTACTTGAATCGCTCAGCGTGAAACTTTGCACGTTACATTCATATTCTGAGTCCGCTTGCCTATTCCAATATCTAGTATAGTCTACATCCCAAATAAGGTGCGAGTTTGGTCTTTTTTATTACTGTATTAGTCCATTAAGGGTTAAGTGTCCTGACCAGGGGAATCCTGGAGAATGATGTATCGAGGGAATCACCAGTTCTGCAGCACATCACCGCAATATAGAGTTAAAACTAAACAACTGAGAGAAATATATGTTTACTTCATCAGATGTTACGTTTTATCTGTACATCAGCACCGGGGAATAACATTGTAATCTTCTTGAATTTGTAAAGTGAAATAAAATGGACCGAAAAATTGCCTGTTGAATATTATAGGTTGTATTTTTAAACAGAATGAATATTTTGGTAGTGAAATCTGAAAGGTAAATATGGATTATTCATTTTTTATTAATGAAAACATGTGTGAACTATTTTGAATGGAAATATTCACAGCTTAAATATAGAACCTTGTTGAATTTCAACCCTAAACATACAATGCATTAAATTGCAGGGTTTAATGCAATGCATATTTTCTTTTCAAGGGGTGCCATTCAACAAGTGCCATTCAACAAGCTTTTTTGTTTAAAAACAAAAACTTTTTCGTTTTTAACACACTATTTAAATGCATATTCAGTAATAGATTTAGAGCCATGAATAACTTTGTTATAGTGTTTGTTGTTGTTGCTAAATTAACATTCTTCATTGTAAAGACTGATTGTTTCCACAAACCAGAGCTGATCTGCTTTCAGTGAAAATTTAGTATGTCAGAGGAGCGAGGAAAGGACTCTCTCTCTAAGATGAGTCTCTCAGAGAAACATAGGTAAGACTGCGTCTGTTTTCACACACTCATTTTAAACTACTGAAGTTTTAGATTATTCCTGTGAAGAACAAAGCTATTATATTTGCAAATGCTTTGCAGAACTTCCTAATAAATACATATTTTGTGGCCCAGATGATAAACATCTAAAACCTGAAAAGGAAAAACAATATTAAGTCTAAATCAAATTTACAGTCTCTTCTTCAGCAGTAGTGTTATTGCAGTACTACAATATTGTTATAGGTACACTGATTTTTTTTGAAAAATGTTTATTAAGAGAGTTTGTGCCGTTAACAAAAACAGATGAACTTCTGTTATTAAATTGTTTCTTCTCTCTTTGTGTCATCAGTGAAAACTCAGGCTCACATGTGTCCGGCCCTGTGTCTGTGAAGAGTGACCGTTCAAAAGATGGTTCCCTACCGAACTTCAGTGAGAAGACATCTATCAAACGGTATTTTTATATGTTTTACATTATAGAGTTATAATTTCTCTACAATGGTCTATCTATAATGAGGAAACTTAACTAAATACAACAATGATTCAGAGAAAAAAAATGTCCGCTAGTCTGATTTCCTCTTTATTGAACTCAATCTGGAGCTTCTTTCCAGTAACACAATATAATACTGAAGTATCTTCTGTAGTGAAATGTGCTTTCTCTCTGTTCTTTGTGTCATTAGTGAAATATCAGGCTCACATGTGTCCAGCTCTGTGTCTGTGAAGAGTGACCGTTCAAAAGATGGTTCCCTACCGAACTTCAGTGAGGAAACACTGTCGCCAACCAAAGGGTATTTCATTTGTTTCTTGTTTTTGGTCACAGTCTGTGATAGAAGGTGTATTGATGAATAATTATCATAAAGCTGCATAGTTCAAATATGTACCAGAGTATTTTTTTTTTGTCTTTGATAAAATATTTACTGGAGATTTTGGTTATATTTTTCCTGGAAATTATTTTTATTATTTTATTTGCTAACAGGCTTCAATATGAAACATTAGATTCAGATTTCCAGACTCACAGAAAACACAAGAATTTCATAGACAATCTCCCGTGTATCTTCAAGGTAAGAAAACTTTCATACATTTTCATAGATATTTAATAATTATAACAAACAAATAGATTATTTATCATGTTTTCTGAAAAAGTCGAAATTTTATTGCTAATTGTTTTTGACCATTACTCTTAAAGGGGGGTTTTATTGCATGTTGCTTTTTTTCTTTGCATGATTGTGTTTATGGGGTGCAATATAACATGAATTCGAGATTTTTATTTTTTTAAAAGTCTTATTTTTCATAAATTTCACCTTTATTGTAAGCCGCGCTCTCCTCTGTCCTCTGAACGAACGGTTGACTTCCTGATTCTATGAAACCACTCCCTCAGAAACGGGCAGTGGGCTCAGATTGGTTCGTTTGGCCCGGTGTGTTGTGATTGGCTAAACTGAGTGGTTCACGTTGTCCGGATACTATTACCTTTATGGGCGAGAGTTGCATGTGTGTTCCTGTCATGAGCTAGAATTAGACCCAGAAAGTGGCGCTGAAGAGAGTCATGCAGAACCTCACCACACACGGCTCTTACTAAACGTTTCTGAATGATAATTTGCCTATATATTTTTCTAACTTTATACACGTTTGTTTTACACAATAGCATTGAACTAACTGGCTACTATATAACACACAAACAGCGTTGGTATTGGTTTACGTTCTTGATCAAATTGAAAATAACGTCATAAAATATATACATATATATATATATATATATATATATATAAATACATTTTCACAATTAGTACATATACAAATTCAGGTCCAAAATGTTTGTACGCGTTTGTCGTTGATACTAAATAGCATAGCTAAGTGGCTATAAAGCCAGTACTGGTACTTGATAAAACTATAACATTAGGTCTGATATTATACATGCAAATACATTTAAAATGATTAAGTCTTAGCCTACTTACAGATTCTGGCCCAACAACTGCTGCCTCTCTTGTTTTAAAGCTGGAACTGCTTCATGTTTTACTAACAGTTTCTTGTTGAATCCGGTGTTGAACTCGTGGAGATTCTGGAAGCTGTCTTCCGTAAAATGCGCAGCACAGAGAGCTAGATTACGATCGTCATTTTCAGGAACATAATCAAACATAAACTGTATCCATTGTTGATGAAGTACAGCGTCCGTGGGAAGCTCGAAAACAGAAGACCTGACAGCTGGATGAACAACTCACTTGATGACCCACAGAAATATGGCCATGAGCTTTTCTGCAGATTCTGGAGGGAGTCTGGATTAAACTTCCTGATTTTTAAAAGACGATATCTCTGCTTACGTTGAACTTTCAGCGCTGCAACTTTGCAGATACTGTTCATGCACCAACAGCAACATTACACACTATTTAAAATGAAAAAAAGTGAAATCGCAATCAGCAGTATAGTGTTTTAATTTTAAGAAGTCAAAAAATAAGAGAATGCAAAATTGTTTATTTATTTATTAATAATGGCAGTTAATTAAAATGTTATGTTGATAAAACCTTTTATTTATTTATTTTTTTGTGTAAATGTACAATTTGATTATTATTATTTGTATTTATTTTTGTTTCTTTGTTTGTAGGATCTTGAGAGCAAAATAATCAAGTTTCTGAAGGATGAGCTGGGAAAGTTTAAGAACATATTACAAAAGGAGAACACACAATACTTAGTGAAGGACTTTAATGAGAACGGATGCATTATTAAAGAAGCAGCTCTTGATCTCACACTACACTACCTGAGAGAGATGAAGCAAGATGAAGCTGCTGATACTCTAAAAGGTAAGAGACTCATGACCATCTGCTAGACTAACACTTGTAAATGTAGGAACGAAAACTATAACTATCTGTATTTGTTCCTCTGTTTAGATGAGCTTTTCTTCATTCATCCACTAAAATCTAGCCTAAAGAAGAAGTATCAATGTGTGTTTGAAGGAATTGCAAAGCATGGTGACTCCACTCTTCTGAATAACATCTACACAGATCTCTATATCACTCAGGGTGGTAGTGAACATGTCAATACTGAGCATGAAGTCAGACAGATTGAGGTTGCGCTGAGGAGTGCAGACTCACAAGAGATACCAGTTCAATGCAACAATTTGTTTGAACCATCTGAACAAGACAAAGAGATCAGAACTGTACTGACAAAAGGAGTTGCTGGGATCGGGAAATCCGTCTCTGTGCAAAAGTTTGTTCTGGATTGGGCTGAAGGAAAAGAAAATCAAGATATCAGCTTCATATTTCCTCTTCCATTCAGAGAGATGAACTTAAAGGAGAAAGAAAAGCAAAGTTTGATGGATCTTATATCTACATTTTTCCCAGAGACAAAAGGACTGAACCTTACAAAAAGGAATCAATTCAAAGTCCTGTTCATCCTTGATGGATTGGATGAATGTCGTCTTCCTCTGAGGTTTGAAAGTAATGAGACGTGGCGTGATGTATCCTCACCAGCCTCTCTGGATGTTCTCCTGACGAACCTCATCAAGGGAAATCTGGTTCCTTCTGCTCTCATCTGGATCACCACCAGACCAGCCGCTGCCAGTAAGATTCCTCCTGAATGTATCGACCGGGTGACAGAAGTACGAGGATTCAATGATGCACAAAAGGAAGTTTACTTCAAAAGAAGATTCACAGATGAGAAAATGGCCAATGAAATTATTGATCACATAAAACAATCAAAGAGTCTCTTCATCATGTGCCACATCCCAGTCTTCTGTTGGATTTCAGCCACAGTTCTCCAGAACATTTTGGAGGAGAAGAGAAATAATGATGTAAAAATCAATCAGGCTGATGAAGCCTCTAAAACACTGCAGGAATCAAATACTGAAGACACTCCCAAGACTCTGACACAAATGTACACACACTTTCTCCGCTTTCAGATCCAGCAGAGCAGACGAAAGTATGATGGAGAATACACACCTGATGTTTCCTGGGATATAGATGCCATCCTTTCACTGGGGAAACTGGCATTTCATCAGCTGGAGAAAAACAACCTGATCTTCTATGACACAGACCTGGAAGACTGTGGTATTGATGCCTCTAAAGCATCAGTGTACTCAGGCATGTGTACCCAGATCTTCAAGGAGGAAAAAGGGATCACTGTTGGTACCACTTTCTGCTTTGTTCACTTGAGCATTCAAGAGTTTATTGCAGCCCTTTTTGTACATCTGTTTCTAGACATCAACAAGACAAGTGTGTTTATTAAAGAGTCTGCAGAACAGGAAAACAAAAATAAAACCATGATTGATTTGCTCAAGACCCTTTATTCAAATCTGATTCTATACATCAACAAGACAAGTGTGTTTTTTCAAGAGTCTATAGAACAGGAAAACAAAAATGAAACCATGATTGATTTGCTCAAGACTGCAGTGGACAAGGCGCTCGAGAGTGACAATGGACACCTGGACCTTTTTCTTCGCTTCCTCCTCGGTCTGTCACTCCAGACCAATCGTCCACTCTTACGAGGACTGTTGACACAGCAAGATGACAATGACCAGAGCAAAAAGGAGATAGTTCAGTACATCAAGCAGAAATTTGAAGATAATCTGCCCCCAGAGAGATCCATCAATCTGTTCTACTGTCTGAATGAGCTGAATGATCAAACTCTGGTGAAAGAGATTCAGACCGACCTTAGCAAAGGAAGTCTCTCATCTGCTGACCTTTCACCTGCCCAGTGGTCTGCATTGGTCTTTGTGTTGTTGACATCAGACAAGGAGATGGAGGAGTTTGATCTTCAGAAATTCAAGAAATCAGACGAGTGTCTCTTTAGACTGTTGGAAGTTGTGAAAATCTCCAAAAGAGCTCTGTAAGTCATTTAAAGCAGAGGTCTTCAATCTGGCTCCTAAAGGCCCACTGCCATACAAAGTTTATATCCAACCTGCTTTATCTTGAGATTTTTAAGTAATTCTGAAGAGCTTGATTATCTGGTTCAGATGTGTTAATTAATGTTGGAGCTAAACTCTGCAGGACACTGGGCATCCAGGAGCCAGGTTGAAAACAGATGATTTAAAGACTAAAATGTAATTAGAAAGAAAATACATTGATCAAAAACCTCCATAAATAATTATTAATCATATACCAGATATAAGTATATTGTAATGTCTGAAGACCGACAGACTAAGAAGGCTCTGTTTCTGATCTTCATAATGCAGATCAAAAATAACACAGGAGAACCAGCCTAACTCCGTCTCTAGTTCTCTGTTCTGGCTTTGGAACTCCCCGCATTAACTCTATGAATTCCGGTGCAAAATAAAACAGCAATTTCAAAACGATTATAAAGAGTCTGTGCACTACACTGTGAATGTTATTTAATCATTAATTTACAATTGTTTTGGTTAACTATAGCCATTATTGATTTTTACGATAGTACAAATGTTTAAAAAAAATTAAGCACCTATACAATTAAAATTTTCAACAAAAAAAAAATGTAGAGGAAGAAACACATCATAATTCAAATTAAATTCGGCAAATTATATTTATATACTCTACAGCGTGGCGAGTTCATATTTTGTTTGCATTGTTAGGGGTTAACAGTTAAAGGACCCAGAACCAGATATGAAGAATGAAGACCCGGAGTCAGAATTATAAAAAATTAAAGAAAGTTTTACTGAACATAGTTTGCCATTTCATCAGCAGAAGTCAGCTTCAAGACTCACTCAGGAGTTCGTAGGCCGCCCCCTTACAGTTACAAAGATCACAGCAGTTATACTGTTTCCAAGGTCTAAGCTACGTCATTGCTTACACGTTGAATGATTCTCATTGGCTACGATATACTGTAGATAAACACAGTAATTTTCCACACATATACAGATAGACGAAACATATCTCCATCGATGAGGCACGTCATGACCTTCCAGGTCACAGATTTGGGTTGCTGGCGCCAGTGTGTCCCGAACAACAACTCATTCAATCTCCAATAATGGCAGTGGTTGCTTAACCTGCAACTAAGAAGACTAACACTGAACTTTAGTCTAACTGGAGTAAGACTTTAACAAAGAAATAGTGCCTTAAACTGTTGGCTTCAATGACCCCTTTATGTTTTAACACTCAAACATAATAAACCAAATCCCTATTTCCCTATTATTTTCACTGTTACCGCATTCACATAGGACACTAGCAAATAGGAGCTCCCATCAAGGCTGAAGAGAGTCTGAGCGTCTTATTATCAGTTAAGTGTACCAAAACATAATGGTAAAACATTTACTTTGTTTGGGAGAAAAACAGATAACATTTGCTTCTCAGAAAGCAAATATAATAGAAAGAATACAGTTTAATATAACAATTAAAGTTCAATAAAGAAATGCTCAATAGAGCTTGACCATCTGTACAGAGAAGTATCATATGTGTTGGACATATGTGTTCACGACGCCTTTATGATCCATAAACCTTTCTCCTGAGACCAGAGAAAGAGACAAATGGCCTTGTGCACCTAAAAGAAGCTGGTGACTTGTGCATGTACATCAGCATGCATTTAAGAATATTATTTCACAAGCAAAAGCACAAAGAATAGATTTATGTCAATAAATGATTAAGTAACCATGAATATACTTAATTATTGATTTTATAAAAGAAATACATAATCATTCAAGAGGATATTATGATATATATACACTGAAGAGGCAAGGGATTTTGACCACCCCTTCAGCATCTAATAGTATGCATCATCATTAGGGAGTATTCTGAATTTGATCTCTTAATATCACTATTGCATATAGATTTATTGTTCATCTCAAATCAATAACTCTTTTATACATTTGTAGAGCAATGTGGAGCGAATGTTTATTAATTTTTCTTTGTGTTCTAAATGATTTCTTTTAGGTTAAATGATTGTGACTTAACAGACAAAAGCTGTTCAAGTCTCGCTAAGGCTCTCGAATCAGACAACAATCTGGAAGAGCTGAATATGAGCAATAATAATCTACAGAGTTCAGGAGTAATTCATCTCTGCTCTGGACTGAATAGTGTGAAGTGTAAATTGGAGATACTGAGGTAAGTTGTGTGACAACAGGCAGCAGGTGTGAGTTTTATATACTTACAAACTGTGCGTATAAGTAATGGATTTCAGTACCATCAGTTAATTAATGTAATGACTGATAACTAGTTTGACAGATAAGGGGAGTTAATGGGCTTTATGCACAGCTGCACTACTTCCTGAACTTCAGCCAGCTCCTTGTTTTCTGTCTGCCATTATTGGACAATTTGATTAATTCAGGTGTGCTTGACC